ATGTTAAGAAGATATGAATTTGATTTATTCTTTTTTTTTTTTTCTTATGTTAAGCAACAGAAAGACCATTCAGGTGACATTTATGTTGAAATTAGAGGTTTGTGGGTGCTTTTCGGTTTACTTTCTTATCTTTGTTTGCTTGATATGTATCATCATCAGATTATCATGCAGAAAGCTGGTAATTGGTGTTGAATATATCTGGTCGCACTCCGGGAGAATACTTCCTTCCACTTTTGTTTGTATATTTAAAATTATCCTTTCTCCTAAAATGGGATTGTTTGCTATGTTATTTTACATAAGATTTCCACTTGTTTTACTGAGAAAGTGGAAATTAATCTATTAGAAACTTATATATATTTCTGTGCAATTGTTGCTAGAAAGAAGAAAAACAGCTCAGTTTTTCCACCATGCGTTTGCTTCATCTCAGTTACTAGGAACTGTAGATGGTATAAACTAACATAATTCCTTTCCAGTCTTTGGGTCTCTGATGTGAATACACTGGCTGAAGGTTAGACAAAGATGACTTTAATGGAGTTCCCAAAACCTCTTGAGAAAGGAGTCCAAGGACTCTGTAGAAACAAACTTTCCCTGTTGCTGCCTTTGTGATTTAAAGTTTCCAAACGAACTTGGTTCCAACAAGTACATCAAACTTTGCACTGTAGCCTTGCCTGTTCAGCATCTTCCTTGAATCAAAGCTGTAATTGGCAGCCCAAAAAAACCTGATAGCTATCCATTGCAGGGATGTCTTCAACAGGAGTGAAGCTCCTAATTCAGCTTTAACTTGCACTGCCCCTTTGCCTTCTCCAGCTGTGTTATGTATATGGTACATAGATCATAATGGCAGAGAGGGAAGGGTTGAGTTCCTACACTGTTTGAGTCAGGCTGTTGAAGCACTATGCTGGAAGCAGAAGCTGCCATTGTATGTACAGTGGAACCACAATCCAACATGAAGGCACGTTTAGATGTATACTGCAACTGCACACAGTACGTTTTCCGTCTGTTTCCTGATGTTTTGAGAATGTACTCCATTGCTGCATCAAATAATATAACCTTGGAACAGAAAAATCCTCTGGGTAAAGGCTTCAGAATAAGAAAAGTAATCTGGCTTGAAAATTCTGTCCTTCTGAGATTCTACTTTTGTCATTTACTTAGTTTAGAAGACGAATATGGCAAAATATATTATTTATTAAAGTTAATATAGGTACTTGGCTGTAGCTTCCTTTTTACACACACTCATACATTAAAATTAATAGGAAAAGAAGCTTCTTACAGTTTAAACAGAATTTGCCTGTATGATACTAGCAGTAGGAGTCTTTCCTTATTTTTGTAAATTATTTAGCAGCGATACGAATATTTTAAAATTCCAGATTGTGGACAGTCTCTTTGTTTTCACTTCCTTGCTTGTTTGCGCTTTAAACATAGACGTAATTTCAAGTGCTATTGGTACCTCCTTAGAGAAGTTTGAATGTCTCTCCTTGCAGTGTCATACAGTATATAATAGCTTTGAGTTTATTTTCCCAGTTCTGATTGTAGTTGCTAATCACTACTGCCCAATAGGCTGAAAAATGGACACCATAATTAGTGCATAGATGGGGTCAATTTTTGAGTTTCCTTGAGGGCACCAGATTTCTAAGACTAAATTAAACAAATACTTAGTAAAGGTAGAACTTATACTGATAAATGTACAGGTGTTTGCTGATATATTATGTGTAAATTTCTGTTTTCACTATGTGCACAATTTACTTTTGCCTCCTTTACAGTAATGGAAATTTAGAACAGTATTACAGTCCATCAGTGACTATTTCTTCTACATGCAAAAGACCTGTTTGGAAATTTAATTTTCTTTCTTCTGATCTTCTCCCCCTTCAGCTTTCCAATAGCTGTCAAACCATCCACCGACTAGAGTGTCAGTTCACTTCACAGATAACTCAGTTTTCTTCCATGCTCCATGGTGTGAGACAGCACATTCTGCTAGAGAGCACTGTAACAATGCACGCTGCATCAGAAATGTATGAATCTAAGGCTTGTTTTGTGAGTTCCCCTAAATCCATATAACCAGCTTCATAGCCCTGTGTCACAACCTAGGAGGTTGTCATGTGTTCTCTGAAAAATATATATGAATACCTACAACTGTAGCTTTAATACAGCGTAATTATTTTTTAAGGAGCGTCTCAAATAGAGATTATGGAATTTAAAGTCAGGTAACAGTCACTGTTATCATTAGCAAGATGAAGACATAAAAACAGTATTGCTTTTAGCTCGTACCACCTTTTCTTTGCCTTGGCATACCAAGAATTAGGTGTCAGTCACAGAAGCACAGCATCCACTACAGTCAAATTGTGTTCAGCAGTAGCTTGAGTTAGTCTGGACAAGCGATTCTGAACAGATTGTGATTCCCACATCTCAGTTACTTTCCTAAGACCCAAGAGAGCTTCTCTGCTGGTTGTCAAATGCCTGCAGAATGTCCTGGTGATACAGTGATGTACAGGGTTCTTAATCCTGCCTCATAAATTACTGCAATTTACTACACTGCTCCTCTGCTAAGTCTGAGTAATACTGAGTGATGGCCAGTAGCTTCTGTACAGAAAATACAACCCAGGATGCACTTCATTCTCCTGTTGCAGTTGCTAATCAAAAAGGAAACGTGGAAGTAGTGTAGACCAAAGGTACCTTAGGTGCTGCTTTTGAAGGATCCCCTCTTGTAGTTTGAAACTATTTCCTCTTATCCTATTACAACAGATCCTGCTGAAGAGTCTGTCCCCTTCTTTCCTATAACCCCTCTTTAGATACTTGAAAGGCTATTATCAGGCCCCCCTGGAGTCTTCTGTTCTCCAGGTTGGACAGCCCCAGCTTTCTTAGCCTCTCCTCCTAGTGGAGGTATAAATTCTTCTTTAACATAACGACAAATCATTCAGGCAGGGTGAATTCTCTTGTTGTCTTTGTTATAATGAAGATAGGCTGAATTCTGGTGAAATTCAAATGTCTGGTCAATTAGGAAATATGAGTGCCTCTGAAGACTTTGAGGAATAATGTAGGATAGGGAGTTAACCAAAACCTCTCAATAGGACACACCAGATATGTAGATTTGGTGGGCTTAGAACATTCGAATATAATCCTCAATGATTTCAAATCCATAAAGACTTTTAAGTGTGTGTAATTAACTTCCTTTTATCTTCAGGCCTAAACACAGACAGCTAATGCGCATTTTGAAGCTCACTTCAGCATTTAACTCACTAAACTACTGTTGCAACTACTGATGCCCTTCATTGATTCTTTGTTTCACAGGGGTTGAGTAGAACAGTGGAGAAAAAAACATTTCAAATTAACCTTAATAAGAAGGTGGTTTTAGTCTGTCACCTTCCCTCTTTGACAGAATACAGAAGCAGTAGTAATGTTGATATATTGTACTTATATGAAGGTCTTTAGTAAGACAGAAGTCTTTCTTTCCAGTTTCTTTCATATGACTTCTCCATGAGCACTACAGGGCGGTGAGTAACTGCTGTTACTGCACGACTAGTTGGCAGCCCCCCATCCAAGAGTTGTCAGGATATGGAAAAAAATCAAGCAAAGGAGCCTGTCCTTATCTAGAACCATCCAATGTCTTTATGAATGACTTAAGAATGTAATAACAAGGTTTTTATGTTTTTAGACAATCAGATGGTGAAATGGTCTACGAGCCCTTTTGTAAATAAAATTACAATTGGAAATATTGTTGGCAGACTGGAACAGTGATTTGAAGTAAACGGTAAAATTAATAATGACTAATTACTGATATAAGTGAAAGTGTGACACTTTGTGGAAGTTTTTTGGGGAAAAAAATGGGAATAGTAGTATGTCAGCAGTGTCATTAGTGCATAGGTCAGCAATATCGTAGTATATTAATGGTCTTATGTAACAATATACAAACAAGAATGGCATAGACTGGTACAGTCCATGATCTTTTCAATCTGTTCTCTACTACTACAGCCCTAAATGGAAGCTGGTTTTCATCTTTTATGGATGGGAGGCAGTGATCATCAAACTCATGGGCTGTACTGGTGGTTCCTGGGCTCTGGGGTACAAACCCAAAAAAGGAAATTGAGGCAAGTGAGTTGAAAGGTGTAGAATTCCATCACAATTAAAAGGAAGATCTGCCCAAGAAGATAGTTGAGTATGAGGGGCAGTTTTCCTGTGGAAATAAGAGTATTTTCATTACTGGAGATTTTCATGAATTATGTGTACATTTCTTGAGAGGGTTTAGGCCCTTTCTAGCCTCTTTTCAGACCAGGATGGATCGAATAAGCTTTATGTAAATTCAAGTCTGTGTGTCGTTTTGGCTGTTGATACCACCTGTGATTGCTGATCAGTTTCAGAGTCTTTCTCTCCTCTTTCTCCCAGTCTCAAACCAGCAGAACCTCATCTCTACTCCTCTCTGGCCATTTTAACTTCTCTCAATTTTTTTATTTTTTTTTTTTTATTTTTATTTATTTATTTATTTTTTTAATAAATAAATGAAGCAGGAGGAAAAATTGAAAGGTCTATTATCTTTTTTTTTTCCCTCATAAATTGAATTAAAGATAGCGGGAAGAGAGTGTTGTGTTTCTTTTCTAATCGCTTAACTGGAATCTTGCTTTTCTTTCTAGTGGACCTGTTGTCACATAGTCCCTGTATTTGTATTACTGCTTCAGCAGCTTGATCCTGGACTGCGCTCTCCTATAGCATCACTAACAGTAGGAATATTGCGTATAGTGGTATTACAGTCTGATAATGCTGTGGAAATTATTTTGGGGAATGTTGCAATACAATGTTTTTATGTGTAATATAAGTGGACGTTTAGTATGTATCTTCTATGATGTCTCACATTCATTCATGACTACTTTTTGTGTGGACTGATATCTCTTTTGAGGCAAGTGTGTAGCTCTACTTGGAATGAAAACACAGATTTTAAAGACCAAACTTTGGCAGAATTATATCCGAATAATTGGTATTTTGTTTTTCCCCTTCCTTCTCCCTACTTCCAGTTGGCTGTAAGGTGGTTGGAGCACAACTGCCACTACCAGTACATGGATGAGCTTCTCCAGTACGTCCGCTTTGGCCTTATGGATGTGGATACACTGCATGCTGTAGCTCTGTCTCATCCTCTTGTTCAAGCTAGTGAAACTGCAACAGCACTTGTTAATGAGGCCTTGGCTTACCACCAGAGCATCTATGCACAGCCAGTTTGGCAAACCAGAAGGACAAAACCCCGCTTCCAGTCAGACACTCTTTACATTATTGGTGGGAAAAAGCGTGAAATCTGTAAAGTGAAGGAACTGCGCTACTTCAACCCTGTCGATCAGGAGAACGTTCACATTGCAGGGATCGCCAACTGGAGTGAGCTTGCACCGATGCCCATGGGGAGAAGCCACCACTGCGTTGCCGTCATGGGAGACTTTCTGTTTGTGGCGGGTGGGGAAGCTGAGCACTCCACGGGACGCACCTGTGCCGTGAGGACTGCCTGTCGCTATGACCCCCGAACCAACTCCTGGGCAGAGATAGCTCCCATGAAGAACTGCCGGGAGCACTTTGTGCTCGGAGCAGTGGACGAATACCTGTATGCAGTAGGAGGCAGAAATGAGTTGCGTCAAGTCCTACCTACTGTAGAACGCTACTGTCCCAAGAAGAACAAGTGGACCTTTGTACAGTCCTTTGACCGATCGCTTTCGTGCCATGCAGGATATGTGGTGGATGGTCTCCTTTGGATATCAGGTAGAAACATTTCTCACAGTTTGAGGTATTAACAAGATATCAAAATGCAGTCTTGAATGACTTCTAGTAAATCATCTTTGGTTTTATACGTCAAGATAACTTTTATCTTAGGAGTGAGTATTTTAAAGGACTTTAGAATGGAAGCATGTAATGAAGCCTGATTAGAAGTATAGGGGCGGAACACAGCTGCCTGCTAAATATGAAAGGGAGCTTATAAACAGGAAAGAAACCAACTTTTTACACAAGCAGATGGTAGATGGGAGATTTACATTAGATATTAGGAGGACATTTTATTCAGAGGGTGGTGAGGCACTGGCATGGGCTGCCCGGAGAAGCTGTGGATGTTCCATCCCTGAAGGTGTTCCAGGCCAGGTTGGATGTGGCCCTGGGCTGCCTGATCTGATGGATGGCAACTGTGTCTGTAGCAGAGAGTTGGAACTGAATGGTCTTTAAGATCCCTTCCAACCAAAGTCATTCTGTGATTGTGTGATTTCTGTGTTTCAAGTTGCATATGTTGTGTACACTACTTCCAATCACCATCCATAAATCGCAGTGAATCAAAATGATAATGCACTCTTTGACAAGTTTTGAATTACAAATTCTGTGTGCTTGCTGAAAAATAAGAAAGCAAAACCTACTTTCTGTAGTATGATCAGGTACTACTGTGTTTATTCTTGCAGTTGGGAATTAAATGCTTGTTGGCTTGTGTAGCTTCAGGGCTTAAAGGCAGGTGATTGAACTCCTCCTTCTTGCTCTTGAAGATATATTAACAGGCCACAGCAACCTTCATTAGAAATCCTGTGTGACTCTGACTGTCAATAGCAAGTGCATAGGACTGGCTGGATGTAATCATAGCACTATGGCACAGGTAGATGAAAGTATAGGCCTTGTAATTGTAAACTAACATATCATTTGCAACTCAGTCTGATAGGCTTTTTGTTGTACGTGTACTCAGTGATGGGATTTGAGGACATCGTGCCATCAGTCCTTGCAGTGATTTTTCTGGTATCACTTGCTTTGGAACAAGGTTGATGCTTTCTATGGAAGGCACAAGAGGCAAAATGGAAGCACCTTTCAGTAAGAAGTGTGTCATGAAAGGTGACAATGTTGTCTTATGTATGTCAATGAGTAGGTAGGACCAGCCCTTGAAGAAAATGTTCAGCGATGGTGTCTTAACTATAGATAGCCTCTGAGGATTTTGGTGTGGCTTGGGATTCCTATGGTGTGTAGATGATATGTGAACAAATGATTAATTAAGCTCATTAAGCCTTCATTGTGCTTGTCAGCGTATGCCGTTGAGGTTAGCAGAGCTCCTTGTGGATGTATCTTTCTGCCCTTACAAGTTAAATAGTTCACAGGATTATATCTCCTAGCTCTGTTGGGAGAAGTAATAGACACCTATTTTCATCCATAGGCACTGAAATCATGACTGATATGTTTGGAAAGAATGGCATGAGAGAACGTCAGGAGTCACAGAGATGCCTGGCAAGCACTCCGGGTCTCTTTCTGCAATGGTTAACTTTGAAGAAGTTCCGTACAGTTTGGGTTGTGTATTAAGTGTGCATGTGGTCTGCTTTAAGAGTCGGGTATGGATTTTTGATGTAAGGAATCAACAAGGTGTGTTCAGAGCCTTCCCCTGTTTATTCATTACCTCCCTTGTTCCATCAGTGGAAAGAGATGAGTGCCTGTGATGGGCAAGACAAAGTATGAAGGTGCTAGTTCTACCATATCTTGATTTCTTTCTTTCTTTCTTTACCTTCCTCTTACGGTTAACGGTTGACAGTTTCTATTTTTGACAAACAGCACTTTTTAGGAAATTGTTTTTAACGTATCTGTGTGAAATCCTTGAAAGAGCACTAGAAGTACTTGTCAGAGTGAGGTCCTTGCTCTAGTACATGGCAAAAAATGATTTTTTTTAATCATTTTTTTTTTTTTCTGTACTAAAATTACAAACAATCTCTACCCAGTTTGTTAGAGATTTTTAAGGCAAATGTGAGATTGGCTCCAGATCGCTTTTAATTTTTTCCAGCTGTGCTAGAAAAGGGAGTATTCATGGCAGTTTGGTGAAGTTTATGGTAGTCTGATGAAGTTCCCACTGATTAGAAAAGGGGAAACATAACATTCATTTTTAAGAAGTGGAAAAAAGAAGATGCGGGGATCTACAGGTCAGTCAGTCATACCTCTGGGCCTGGCAAGATCATTGAGCTGATTTTCCGGAAGGCCCTAAGGCACATGGAAAATAAAGATGAAGTGACTGGTGGCAATCAACATAATTTCATCTAGGGCAAGTCATGCTTGAAGAACTTGGCTGTCTTTATGATGGAGTTACAGTGTCAGGGATAAAGGAAAAGCAACTGATGTAATCTACCTGGACTTGTGCAGAACATTTGACGCTGTCCCTCATGACATCCTGGTCACAAAATTGGAGAAAAATGGATTTGATGGTTGGACCTCTCTGGATAAAGGATTGGCTGGATGGTTGTACTCGGGGAGTTGCGGTCAGCAGTGCAGTGTCTGAGTGGAGACCAGTGATAGAATCATGGAATCACTGATGAGTGGCATTCCTCAGGGATTGGTGCTGGGTCCAGAGTTATTTAACATCTTTGTAGACAATATGGACTGTGGGAGCAAGTGCACCCACAGCAAGTTTCTAGATAATACCAAGCTGAGCTGTGCAGTGGACAAGCTAGAGGGAAGGGATGCTACAGGGAAGGACATGAGCTGTCTTGAGAGGTGGGCCCATGTCAACCTCATGTAATTCAACAAGGCCAAGTGCAAGATCCTGCACCTGGGTCAGGGAAACCCCTAGCACAGGTACAGGCTGGATGGAGAATGGCTTGAAAGCAGTCCTGAGAAGAAGGATTTGGGCGCGTCAGTTGATGAAAGACTGAACATGAGCCAGCAACACACTCTTGCAGTTCAGAAGACCAACTGTATCCTGGGTTGCATGAAACAGAAGCGTGACCAGCAGGTCAAAGGAGGTCCTCGTATCCCACTCTCTCTTGTGAGACTCCACCTGGAGTACTGTATCCAGTTCTGGAGCCCTCAGCACAATGGCATGGAGTTGTTGAAGCAGGTCCAGAGGAGGGCTATGAAGTTGATCAGAGGGCTGGAGCACCTCCCCTATGGGGGCAGGCTGAGAGAGCTGGGGCTCTTCAGCCTAGAGAAAATGGGGGGACCTTATAGTGGCCTTCCAGTACCTGAAAGTGTTTCACAGGAAAACTGAGAAGGGACTTGTTATGAGGGTGTATAGCAATGGGATAAGGGGAAATGGCTTTAAACTGGAAGAGGGTAGATTTAGATGAGATACTAGGAAGAAACTCTTTACTGTGAGGGTAGTGAGACACTGTTAACAGTGGATACCCCTTCTCTGTCAGTGTTCAAGACCAGGCTGGATGGGGCTTTGAGCAACCTGGTCTAGAGGGGAGTGTCTCTGCCTATAGCATGGGGTTGGAACTATATGCTCTTAAACATCCCTTCCAGCCCAAACCATTCTATGATTCTATTATATTATGCTGTTTTTTATGTGTTTAGTTATGGAAGTGGAATACATGCATGCCTGTGTCCAGATGCTGCTGGGATTTATGTAATGTAGCACTGTGATATTACGTATTTAATACACTTGCAGAATCAGAGGGAAGAAGTCATAGAAGCTTATTAGATCAACTGCTAACAAATGACAAAAAAAAAAAAAAAAAAAAAAAAAAAAAATTACCAGTATTGTTTCACGTATATTTGAAAATGCAACATAGCTCCTGTGGTAAAAACCAATGGTGTATGAAGTTTTGGCAGCAGAGTAAGCCAGATAGGACTGTTGGGTTGTTAGAGTTGCCAGATTCCATTTGTTTACTGTAGATTATGAAATGCAGTACTTCTGAGGATATTGATCTGAATTATGTACTCACAAATTGAAAGCTGGGATTTATCTGTTGAACAGTTATTTTTAAAATAAAGGTAGATGGAGATGTTTTAACTATAACTAGCTTTTTACCATTAATTGATTGCTTAGGAGTATATATGTATATTCAAGGGCGTTCAGGGGCAGAGGAATGGTACACGGAGATGTTTTATTGTGCTAACATATCAGTAGTTACTGATGAAAAGACCTGCTGTTCCACCATCAAATATAAGATGTTAGTGTAAGAATAATCAGTAATGTGGGAGGGAACCTAATTTTTAAGTACCTAATCTAAAATTATGTGATTAAAAAATTAGTCTGAGTTAGGGATATTTCTGAGAAGTATCCCTGCTGCTTTATGGGAAATTCAGGTCATCACCAGAGCTCTCAAAGTCAGTCTGATGCTACTAGCTGGCACAACTACTATGAAAATCTGCCCAGCTTTTTAATAAGTGAATAAGTTAAATAGTAGTAATATAAATTTTTAGACCTTGTATTTGTGGAGAAAGTCATCAAAACATGATTAATAGTCAAAACAGTAATACCTTTGCTACAAGCCCTTCCTTCTACGGCTTTGCTAATCAAAGTCTGGCTAGAATTAAAGGGTTTTCTGTTGTCATTATTGGGATTCATTGCTGGCATTACTTTGCACATCCTTTGGGAGTAATACAGGAAGGAATCAAAACTCACAGAGACTAAAATCTTGGTGGCGGTGGCAGGAAAGGGAAGGGCAATAAGCAGAGTGCATGACACAAGAGCATGCAAGAGCTGGCAGGTAGGTGGTGCAGGGATGCAGGGACTGCCAAGCTGCCTCCACTCCTTGGGGCCCTTTACTTGCCTGAGGGCTTGGGACTAGTGCACTTTGGAACAAGCCTGACTCTAGATGGCAAAAGTGGGTTCAGTTCCATATACTGCAAGACATCCTTTTATATTTGTGTGTCTTTTTTTTCTCTCTTTTTTTTTAATGACCCTCTATTTAATTTTATCTTCTTATTTTAAAAAGTGAATGATAATTCATTAAAGTTCTCTGCATTGACAGTACAATGTCAGGCAGATGGCTTTGAAATTTTACAGAAAGATGAATCTTAGAGGCCCCAGTTCTCATCTGACACCCCGATCCCTTTCACAAACGCACTGCGTGCCACATGCTAGCAAAGCAAAGTATTTGAGTGAAAGAGCCACAAACTGCACTGAGCCCCTTGGAGCTCAACATTACTAACAATCACTTCCTATAAAAGCAGTGAAACATTTTCCATAATAGTGCGAACTTGAACTGTGCCTCTTTTTTTCTTCATCCTCCATGATGCATGCAAATCTGGAGACCTCCTTTTCTATAGGGTCAGCCTTTTCCACCCGTTAGGTGCCTTGCATGTATAGATCGGGTTGTGCAGAGACGAGGGGACCTCTGACAGACCCTCAGCTCAGTGCCACTTCTGCATCTGCAGGGGAGATGAGGGTCTGTCCCTCCTGGTGAAGTGCTCAGGAGGCAGCACAAGAGGTGCTGCCAAGAGCCAGTACCATCCTGTTGTTCCGCAGAGGTCAGAGCTGCCTGACCTGAAGGCTGCTGGCTGAAGACGCATCTTGATGTGCATGGGAATACTCAGTTCTGTGGGAGAAAAATAACCAACCCCCTACAATTGCTTCGTATTTAATAATATTTTTTAACAAAAATCGAGATTCAAGGTTGTGTTTTTCTTTTTTTTTAATTTTGAGACTTGTTTATTTTCCTAATGGTGAGATTTTAACCAATGAAATTATGGAGATCACGTATCTTCAAGAATTATTGAATTTCTAAGTGCTTTGGAGTATTGCATTACTATTAGGATGTTGTGGGGAGATCTTTTTTTCCCCAGTAAATCCCTGTAATATCATTTTATGAAAAATGGATCTGAAATAAATAGGAGTCTACAGTATCTAACCAAATCCAATTTTGTGGTGCAGCAGGCACAGAAAATACCATGTATAGGGGCTTTATAAGGAGATAAATTGTCTCTGTGACCCAGTCTACGTCTGGATGTGGGATAGTGTTTCTTTTTTATTATTATTATCTTTTAATAAAGATAATCATAGAATCATACAATGGTTAGTGTTGGAAGGGACCTCAAAGATCATCTAATTCAAACCTCACAGCTTTCAAGCAGAGACATTGATCTGATGTCATTAATTCTTTGTAGATTGAAAGTAAGCACCCAGGCTGGGCAGAGAATGGCTTGACATCAGCCCTGAGAAGAACGATCTGGGGGTGTCAGTTGATGAAAGACTCAACATGAGCCAGCAATGCACTCTTGCAGTCCAGAAGGCCAACCATATTCTGAGTTGTATCAAGAGAACTGTGACCAGCTGGTGGAGGGAGGTGATTCTGCCCCAATACTCTGCTCTTGTGAGACCCTACTTAGAGTAGTGTGTCCAGTTCTGGAGCCCTCAGCACAGCAATGGCATGGAGTTGTTGGAGCAGGTCCAGAGGAGGGCCATGAAGTTGATCAGAAGGCTGGAGCACCTCCCCTATGAGTCGAGGGAATTGAGGCTCTTCAATCTGGAGAAGAGAAAGTTCCAAGAGGACCTTATAGTGGTGTTCCAGTACCTGAAGGGGTTCTGCAGGAAAGCTGGGGAGGGACTTTTTATAAGGACATATAGTGCCAGGAGAAGGGGAAATGGTTTTAAACTGGAAGAGGGTAGATTTAGTTGAGATATTAGGAAGAAACTCTTTACTGTGAGGGTGGTGAGACACTGGAACAGGTTGCCCAGCGAGGTTGTGAATGCCCCCTCCCTGGAAGCATTCAAAGCCAGGCTGGATGGAGCTGTGAGCAACCTGATCTAGAGGGAGGTGTCCCTGCTATAGCAGAGGGATTGTAACTTGATGATCTTAAATGTCCCTTCCAACAGAAACCATTCTGTAATTCTATGATTTGTAATGATTTAAAAAATATGTATGAGAAGGTCGGGCTTGTGCCCCTCTTGTTTGACAGCTAGTTTGCATACAGAGAGGACTGTCATAGCTTAGAGCTGCCATTGGTGCCTTTAAGGGTGCATAAGGGTGAGGGAAGGTGCCGTAGCTCAACTGCCCTCACTGCACCTGTGCTGGCTGAATAGAAGGCCTGCATGATCTCCTATTTAACACAGAGGCAGGAGAGAGAGGAGAGATTTCTATTTTAAAACAGCCAAGCATCGTAGGGCGCACTTCCTGAGCTTGCTATATTCCATGTATTTGCTGGAAGGAGTGCACATGGGGAGCTCTCTGCCAACATGTGGTTTTACACATCTCCCAGCAAACTGGGATTCATGTGCACAACCTAGCACCCGGGGACTTTCAGAGAGAGTGGTGAGATTTTCTGTGGGATTTGGATTGGGTGAGATTTCTCAAGTCAGATGGGGGGTCTTACTAGGACACGATATAAATATGGATGATAAATGTCTGATTGGGAAAATTGTACGAAACCTCCTGCCTGCCACCCTTCTCTTTTTGGAGGTGGCTTTATTGAAGGCATGTTTCAATGCAGTTAGTGGATTGTTTGGGTGCTGTAACAAAACAAAATATTTTGCAAATGTGGGGAAGGGGAGGGTAAGTCCCAGCCAGCTTCTAAGAATTTCTTCATGGATAGAGGCACTGCAGTGCTGGGAGCTTAAGGCTTCTGGAGGGCTTAGAAAGCAGGGGTTGTGGCCTGCCTCGCAGCATCTGATGTAAAAGAAGTGAGCAGCAATGGCTGTGGCCCTGTAACAACTTCTATAAGCTGGACTTCTCATGACTGCCATCCTGCAGGAACAAGGAAGATACAGGCTTCTCCTGAGGGCACTCCTTGCCTTCCTGAGATTTGAGTCCTCAAAGCAAGCTGCTCGTGCCAGAATGGTTTGTAAAATCCACTGAGCAATGACTGAGCTGTAAGTTTTGATGTTGTTGGACCAGCCAGACGTTTTCTTCACTTCCCTTAATTTATTTGCTACCACATTAGCTGCCTTTGCTTAACATCAGCTTTCATAGCATAGTTTGTAGTTTCAAGACTTCAAGTGTTACTACCATACCTCCCTCTTCCTTCCTCATAAAAAGTACTGCAGGGCAGTTTAAGAAATCATTTCAGAATTACCCCAGTTTTTTGTTGCTCTTGTTGTTGTTTGTTTGTTTGTTTGTTTTTTCTGAAAGTATGTATTATTTTTAGTACTATTTAAACTTATTATTCCTTATCCTATTTTTTAAGAGATATGTTAATCATATGCCCTTTCCCAACTGCGTGGAGTATTTTTAAAAGAATAGTTCAAGAGGACATTATAGACTTGTTAAATTTGAATTTTGGCAGAAAATTTTAAACTTTTGCTATAGCACTTCAAAGTTAGGAGGAACTCGAGTTTGAAAATTGATGCAGATATAAGATGGCATATTTAATGACAGATGTATCTATAGAAACCTGTTAAGATGCAGATTATCCCCCTGGGGAGGGGAGATCAAAACTGCCAATCTATAAAATATACTTGTTAGGGGAAGGCATGGAATCTATCTCTGTGAGCACTTTGATTGCAGGGGACAGTGTAGCAGCATGTGGCATCATAACCTAAGAGCAGACAAATCAGCTTGATGACTTTCAAAGCCAAGAATACTGCTGGAGGCAAGGGTACTCCAGTCTAGAAGAAATTAAAACATATAGAGACTGTTATTAATTCCAGATCTATTTTTGTGTAGTCAAATCTGTATGCAAATCCTTAGCATCTCATTTTGGCAGATTAATCTAAAAGTGAAGAGCGGTATGTGAAGGGAATGTAATGATAAAACACCACAGATGAGCAATATTGCAGGGAAAAAATATAAGCTATGTACTTGATACGAGGGGCTCTTCGTGAAGAGAGGAAAATAATTTTGTTCTTTTGCTTATTTCATTATTTTATAAGGAAGCAGCCCCATTCTTTTTCTTCCTCCACATTTTCCCCCCAGTATGGAGGTGTGCTTTCAGAAGAAGAGACCCAGCATTGTGTTTCTGTTGTACCTCCTGTGGGCAGGCATTCTGGAGGCAACCATCCAAGCAACTATGGATTTTATTTTTTCAACACGCTCAGTGACATCCCATTTTTAAACACTGGGAGTGAAAATAGCTTTGTAAAGGTATCAAATTTCAGGCGTTAGAAAATATTGTTTCGTGGTCGTGGCTGATGGCCACTAACAAAGGCTGCACAGCAGCGTGGAGACAAACAACGCTGTGACATCAGCAACTGTTGCTTTCCAAAGCACGTTCTTGTGTGTAACCTACAGATGGGGGGTGGGCGCTGTGTGATGCAGCATGGAAAGGCTGTGTGTTATCTTCCAAAAGTACTGCATGAGGTGAAGCTGGGCTCTGTCAAAATGAGGACTTCTAAGCATGGAGGCACACTAAGACCAGGTGAGGACGTGTCCCCAGTACCTATTCTGGATTTTCCTGAGGTGCTGAGGTATACCTTTTTTTTTCCTGTAGATTATTGAGAACTTGATATGCCAGATGGTTAGCATTGTTTCTGATCACTGTGGAGGAGCTTCCTAACGTAAGACTATGACAAAGCCAGAAGATGTTTGCTCTGCAGTGCAGAATATATGTGGTAAATGTAGAATTTCCTTTGAAGATATATGGAATACAGTTGCAGTTGACAAAGGTGCAGTGGCATGTGAATGTAACTGGGGCTATGCAATGTAATCCTGTCAGCAAATGGACCCTACAATTGGTTGTTTTACCGTACTGCATTTTGGTCCTGGTTTTGCCTATGTGAAAAAAAAAAATATGTAACCTGTATAAACTCTTTCATAGGAGGAGTAACAAATACTGCACAGTATCAAAACAGGCTCATGGTCTATGATCCCAAGCAGGTGGGTATCTGTGTCGTATGCATTTCTCTCCTATCTTTTGTTTAAAACAGGTCTCTTACCAAATGCATGCTGTGATTTCTTAAGTTTAAAATGCTGTCCATTTGAGTTGATGGTGGTTTAAATTCACTTTACACTGATGATATGTGTTTAACAGAGTAGTGGACAACCTGACTGATTTTGTATTTTTGATGCCCATACGTTTTAGAAACATTTTAGATTAAATGCTTAGAATCTTAGAATAAATGGGTTTTAAGCTCCTCTACTTACTAGTATTTATTTTGCTTGTTCATTTGTTTGTAATCCAGCAGCCCCAAGCAGCATGTACTTAAAGCCAGTGTCACAAGGCTGCTTCTTATCTTTCACATTTCAGCTTTCAATTACATACACACAAGCTTTTTGTTTTCTCCATTCTTTCAGAGCTGCACTACCTGTCAGCGCCTTATTCTGCTGACTGCAAGGGTGCCTATCATTTCATTACCCAACTACCTAAAATGTATTTTAGGGATTATTTCATACATTATGTATTTGTTTTGATTAGGTTAGCATGGCTCAGTGACCATTTCAGGGGGTTAGGGCATGGTTATGCCCTCTCACTAGCATTAGGAAATAGAAGTTCTAAGCTTGCAATCAGAGTTGCACAGCCTGGTTTATTCCTGCATGGGAAGGTGTTTACTTCTCTGATTACAGGATAGGGCCTTTGGTTGCTGTCTTGGGCCAAGGCACACATTACTGTGGCTCCCGCTGGCTTTTAAGGCATACTACAAATGGTTGCTGAGGCAGAAAGCAGACTCTGACAGAGCTACCTCATCCTTTGAGGTACATTCAGATCATTGACTGCACAAGTGCCAATTCTACCCCAAACCTCGGCATGTCGTAATTACAGGCAGCAATCTCATTTTGCTCGTGAATGGGACGCTCGTTTAGTTCCTGTCTCTCTGTCGCATGTCCACGTCCTTTGCCGTGGCTCCTGCTGATGTGGCTTTGGAAGTTGCACCACAAAATATCAGTGGCAACTCGAGTGCATGGTGATGGCTGTGAGAAGCCCAGCCTGACGTATAAAGAGTTAAGGAGAAAGCATGCGTTAGCCTCCTTCAAATGAGGCCTGCTTCATGTTTGTACACACATGCTCTTTTTAAAAATTCTGCTGGCATATTGTTTACGGTGGGTACTGGAAACCATCACATCTGCTTGCATCTCGCACGGAATCTCAATAACTCCATCATTCAGCGCTCGTGCTCGCTTCTGCGCGAGGCCTTTGTGGCAAGTCGATAATGCCTGCCATCTGCCACAGAGCACACAGCTACCTGCCAGCAAGCCGGCCGGGGTGACCTCTGCTTCCCCACCACTGATTAGCATGCACACACTGCCTTATTAGAAATGACCCCGCCAGGCCCCTCGCTTTCGTTGCCTTTGCAGCGTGCAGCGGCTCACCTGGCAGGCACCGCAGTGGAGGAACCTGAAGATATAATCAGGGGATGCAGGCAGGCTTTGCAAAGCAGATGGTGCCTATAGTCTCGTGTTAAGAGACTGGACTACTAATGCAAGCATTAATGCCTAATACTCAACTGTTACACATTGAAATGTATAGCTATATATTGCAGAGGTTAAAAGGCTGTGTTATTAGAGACTCTTGAGCTACCACAAGCACTAGCACGTGTAACACAAAGAATTTCCTCACAGATTTTAACTTCCTCCTCGTAGATAAATTAATCTTGTTGATTGCCAGGTTGTTTGCTTCTGTAAGCATAGTAGAAGCAATTGCTTTCCTGCATTTAAAATACTGTGCTGTAACTGCTCTTCTTTTGTGTCCTCCCTCCACCCCACGAATAGCAGAATTCCTGAATATTGTTAACAGAAGGAAAAATATGCAAAAGGATTTTACTTTGTGAGTGCCTGCAAATAAAGGGTTAGCATTAAACCAAGTGCCCAAATCATTTAAGAAGATCCTTGAGGAAATTATTTTTCCTTGTTGCTTCACTCCCCAAGGGTGAGACCAAATAAGCTTCTGAATAATGAAAGGTAGAAGAATCTTCTCTCTCAGAGCTGGTTGGTACAGACATGTTAGTGCTGTATACAAAGGAATCATCTAATAGTTTTGCGTAAGGAAGATTTGCTACTGAATTCTGCAGCAAAGGAAAAAAAAAAAACAAACAGGCTTTGAAGCCTCATGAGCTAAACAGGAAAATGGAACAAGAAATAGCCTCATATTAATAAATGTAAACGTGAGGACTGTAAACCACATGTTGAAAGTCTGTTATATCAAGTGAATGTTGTAACAAACATGCATGCTTAACATATGAATAACACAAGTATATAGACCTTGAATCTCTAGCCACGGGTGAGGAGTAAATGCAGATGTCATTGTATTGTTAACTGAGGTATGACTTCTAGCAGTGCTGAGACAAGTTCTGTCTTTTCCTTTGCAGAACAAGTGGTTAAGCCGTAGCCCAATGCTGCAGAGGAGAGTGTATCACTCCATGGCTGCTGTCCAAAGGAAACTCTATGTGCTAGGTGGGAACGACCTGGACTACAACAATGATCGGATCCTGGTTCGGCACATTGACTCCTACAGCATTGATGCTGACCAGTGGACGCGTTGCAGCTTCAACATGTTGACAGGCAAGTGTACAAAAAGGAGAAAAGTTGCTACTATTACATTAAAACATAAGTCCTTTGACCTTTTCATGCCTTTGGTATGTGGAACTCCACAGTTTCACCACAGTTGCCTCTAGCTTAGAGGTCATTGTTGAGACACAAGAATTTTGATTACTGTCCTGGCATTCATTGTTTAAGAAAACCTTTGTTTTAGGATATTGCAGGCTACATTTTTAAGACAACTCATGTAATTAATTAGGAAGCCAAAAGCACTTTGTTATATTATTACCAGTACTTATCTTTGGTTCTCTAGAAGCTTGCATGCACTGATGGATTTAGTTCCATGTTTGGTGTGCACAATAGGCAAATGCATCTCATCATCATTTTTATCTCTTTCTGCTGGCAGAAAGATCTAGTAAGATCAAGGCTTACACTGAAATCCATTAACTGTCATTTATTTCCAAACATCTTCACCACTATACATTTCCAGAAAGGAGATGTCTTTGTTGGAAGTCTATCAAATCAAGGATGCATTGGGTGGCTTAGATAGCTGTGTCATCTGCAGAGTTTCTCATTATGGTCATTAGGTGGAACTGTTCCAGTTTCAACTCGCAGTGCACTCTAACTCTCGGTCCCTGCCGTATCATCCACCGAATATCACCACTGCCTGATGTGACTCCCAAATGTACTACCACTTGTATCCCTGGTAGAGGCAGGCAAGTGACACATTCTCAGAGTATTCTCAGCACCAACAGTAGCTTGCCAGAAGAGAAGGGAGGCTGTAGTGGGAGAAGGGAGCTGGGGGTGGCCTCTTCTCTCGGCTTCAAATTGCGCCAGAGGAGATTCAGGCTGGACGTTAGGAAATCCAACCACTCTTTCAGAAAAGTAGTGTGCTGGTATGGACTGCCTAGGGAGGTGGTGGAATCACCAACCCTGAAAGTGTTCAAGGAACGTTTAGATGTTGTGCTGAGAGACGTGGTTTAGTGAGAATTACTGTTGGACTGGATGATCTTGTAGGTCTTTTCCAACCTTGGTGATTCTATCATTCTATGATGCATTTCCAGGACATTAATGTTGAGGTGTTCTCTTCTGCAGCAGACTTGGAGCTCCCTTAGTAACAGTTTTGTCTGTCAAAACGTTTCAGCACAGACTGCTACTGGAATCCTAGAAATGAGCCTTCCTCACTTTTCATAATCTTTCATTCACTTCTGATTTTTACCACTCAAAAGGATACAAAAGATTTAGGAAATTGACTAGAAGCTCAGGACAACGGGGAACAACATGTCAGAGAAATAAATGCTTGACAAATAAGATAGTCACATGGTGTCGTTTTCCTTTTGGTAGATTTAAAAGCTGTTATAGTGGATTTTTGTTCTTTAATATATTGTGTTGGCTTTGTTAATCTCTGCAATCTTCAGGATTGCTTAGTTTCTGAGTTACGTCATCAGAGTCCTTCATGGACACTAAGGAAAGATGCTTGGATCAAAAAGGAAGAATTGCACACTATCAAACAGAACTAGTTTATCATATTCATATTGCTCTCTGTTTAATGGATTTCTTCTATTTTGTGTTCATTTTCCTTCAAAATGACTGCCTTTGAATAAGACTCCTGACTTGTAACTGCAAAAGTCCTGGCACTGGAGGCACCCTTGCTCTGGAGCTGACCCTGTGCCATCAAATGCTGTCTCTCCCCAGATGTGAGCAGTTGGCTTGTTCCCATGGTCCACAGCTTTTCTCTGTGATTTCATGACTGGCAGAAGGAGTTGCACCAAGTAGCAGATTGTAAAGCTTTATTTATACTTCAGAACCTTCAGATTAGTTAAGGAGATTGCTGCTGTTGGAGTGAGCTTTCATAGCAACTCCTGCAGTTTTCCCTATTGTACCTGTGGCTGCAGTGGGCGGAGGGGTGAGTTCAGATCCTTCAGCATGTCTGCGTTAAATGGATGAGTGCGATGTTAGCTGGTAGCAGGCAGGGAGCTCACCCATCACTTATGAAATACAAGTGCACAGAAACTACTGAGAAGGCAGCAGATGGTCCCCTGCCCAGCCCCACTGTGCATCTGTGACACGACTCATCTGTTGTATTGCTCCGGATGGCACCGTCCTGAGCTCCTGTGGACAACAGAGCACAGCCCTCATGTTTCACATCGATTGTTGCAAGTTGTCAACTCTGAAACTCAAGTTACTGCCAAGTGCATTTGCATCTTACTGCAGAACTCCAGCACTCAGTGTTAAAAGGGTTAATTAAACATTGGAAGTGTTTTCTATTCCTTTTTTTCCTTTAGGTCAAAACGAGTCTGGAGTTGCGGTCCACAATGGTAGAATATATTTAGTTGGCGGCTATTCAATTTGGACAAATGAGCCTCTGGCATGTATCCAGGTGAGTGATTTAGGTTTCTTTTAAAGTCTTTTCCAATAATTTTGCAAGGAGATGTTTTGCACAGAGGTTATTTAAAAGGAAAATGCAGGTGAAGTGGAGAGATTAAGGATGTTTCTTAAGCAGCCCCGGAGCCTCTACAAACCTGAGAGGAAATGCAGATATTAAGAAATATTTCCGGGTTAGCAATTAAATATAATTATTCTAAGTAAGATATTCTAGGAAAACAGGGTTGAGGAATCTCTCCTTTAACAAGATTTGAGTAAAACAGTGGGTATATTCTCAGGTTACACAGCGGAATTCAAAAGTAAAAGAGATGAAGAAATGGACAGTGAGATGTGGGCTAACATGTTTTCAGCCATTCGTGTGATGTTATTCCTCTCCAAGCTGTCTTTCAGAAGAGCAGCCAGAGTTAATGTGTTGTTCTTTGGCAAAGTTCAGTAAGCCTGCAACCTGCCCTAGTGCTTACTGCTTCAAAGCTTGAATGGAAGTTTTGATCCCTGCTGTAGGCAGTAGATTGTTCAGTAAACTCTTCCGCTCTCTCATCTTGTGTAACAGCAGCTTACCTGCAGATCTGTGTCCTTCAGATGTTCCCATACAGAAATTAGGAGTTCTTATCTTCCTGCAGTCTTCTGAGTGAAGCCAATCTGCATCATGGCCATAGCTTTCTGTAACTGCCCAGCTGGTCACACAGGAACTCTTGGTTCCATCTCTGTTTCTGCACTTTTACTGATAAGCAATATTTTCATTAGCTTCCAACTGAACATTTTAGAATTTAACCTTTAAGCTGTCCCATAAGGATGGAAGTTAGACCCAGCAGAAGGGAATGTATCAGATGTTGAGCTGCTGATCTTATAATGAATGCACACTAGCAGGAGTTTGTAAAGAGCAGAGCAAGATAAACAGTTAAAATCTTACTCTCCTGATATTATCATTGAGTGTTGTTAGGACATCGGATACCATATCTAAAAATTTTCCTTGGAAAATAACGCACGGGTAGGTTTGGGGAACACTAGTTGAAGTACAGTTCTCTGAATGGAGTAATGAGCAGCACAGTGTCAAGGCAGTGGCCTTGCTTGTTTATAGTCAGTGGGTAGTTTGCAGTTTTGCACCTGGGTTTAAATACTGCTTAGGGACAGGTGATGATGAGCCTGAGATCTCACTTTCAGAATGCAAATCTTCCCATTTCCTTAAAATCATGGTAATGAGCTGGAAACTTGCCTGACACAGTCCCAGCATTAGTGGGAAAAGGAGAGTAAGGATGCTTTGGCAGAGGTGTTGGCACTGTGCCTGGCTTTCACCAGTGAAATCAGATCTTCAAATCTGAGTTTACTCTTGCCTTTGGAATAAAACCCATTTTTCTCCATACATCTTCATTGTCTTTAAGTCATTCATGTATTCAGTCTTTCCAGTTTCCCTTGCTCCAAGTTTACAAATGAATCATGCTTTGTGACAACTGTCAGCATTTTGGTGCTCTGCTTGTGTGGCTGCACCACCACTGTCTGCTATCAATTGGCTAAACTAGGATAAGAGTTGGGTGATAAAGGCAGCAGTAAATCAGCAGATCCCCAAGTGCAATCTAGAAGTGATCTGAGACTACATTTCTGCTGGAATTAGTACTACACTCATGTGTTCTGTGCCAGCAAATTTATTTCAGACTACTTTTGTGATCCCAGAAATGTTTTCTACTTTGCCCTGCAGGTGCTGGATGTCAGCAAGGAAGGGAAGGAAGAAGTTTTCTATGGGCCCACGCTGCCGTTTGCTTCCAATGGGATAGCAGCATGCTTTCTTCCAGCTCCCTGTTTCACGTGCCCCAACCTTCAGACCCTGCAAGTGCCTCACCATAGGATGGGCACGATGTGAGATGAGGAATGTGTGCATCATCAACAGTGGCATGTGGAGGGCGAAAATCAAACCCCCTGTACAGACGGGGTCTTTGGATCTGCAAAAAGAATCCACCCCCATGGACTGCTGCTTTACTGTCACACATTTGTCTTAATGTCGGACCACAATAGGCAGGAAGGAGGCTACAAAACCCTTGGTATCTCTCCTCTGCCTCAGCTGCAGAGGTGTATACATAAGAGCATTTTGTATTTCTGGTGACTACTTGCTGCCTGTCTCTATATAATTCCATTATGCAACTCATAAGGCATTGTGATGCTCCTGGCTCCTCCCTGGGCTGCTCTTCTTTGGAGTCTGCACTTTCTGTTGTTCACTAAGGGCACTTTCAAAGACGATAGGAAGTACTGTTTGTGTTGACAAAGATGGTATAATACTGTGGTAATTATGCAACTTACTTGATACCTTCGGCAAAAAGAATAACAAACGTGTTGACTTCCAATTCCAAACTCCATTGTTTACAGTTTCTCATTTAATTATATTTCATTTGAAATTTAAATACTGTGAAGCAGATTAAAACAAAAATAAAAACCAAACAAGCCCTATAGTATCTGAAGAACACGTGAAAATTTTCAGAAGACAAAGAAGCTGAAGCTTCACAATTAAGTGCAAGTCTGAACCAAATACGTTTGTCTGAGAGTCTAAAAATCATGTGGGATGTCTTTTACCAAGGTCTACTATCAAATAAATGTTACCTTCAGTCACGTGATCAATTCCTACTGACAGCTGCTGTCTTTTAGTGGTGGAGAACAGCCTCTTTACTGTGTAATTAAAATATGCCATTTACTTAATATTTTTAATATTCAGTTTGTAAGGGGTCACCACATTTACAATTATCAGCAAATGGTCTCATTTTGTCCAACATATGGTCCCACAAATCACTGGTCTCCAGAAGCTAAACAGCTGTATAACAATGTCAATATTTATTTATTCCTTGGGTTTTTATGGTGCGTCTCCCTTCCGTACTCAGGCATATGCCACTCCACAATAAATACTCTAACCTGTTATATCTTGGCTTTGCTTGGCTCCTGCAGACCCTGTCTCTTACTTTCATCTTTTTTATTTTTTTTTTTTTGCGTATCTGACAGCAACTTTGATGTTTGTGAATATTAACCAAGCATATGATTAAAACTTTATTTATGCTTCACGGGCACTATGCACTTTTCTGGTTTACCTGCTGATCTGTTCCCTGCTCCTGTGCTATCTGAGCAGACCTGTGCAATTCCTGCCGACGTTCACAAAAACACCAGCTCTGGAAGATGTCCCAGCAAGAGGCTGTGTGTGCTGAACAGGAATGGGTTGGCATTGCCTGGTGAGCAGCTCTTCCAGGCCAAACACATCTTCGAAGGGCCTGCTTAGCGGTACAGTGAGGTGAGCTCTATCTCAGTCTCCAGATGGGCAGAGTAGTCACAGCATGTCACCTTGCTTTTTCCGGTAGTTTTCAGGTTATAAAGTTCTGTTTGTTTTGTTGGGTTTTCTTAGCAGCCTTTGGTTGCGGAGAGCTAAGCTCCAGCTGCATGGTTTGTACAGACGAAGCCTTGAAAGGCTTTCCAGTCACATGTGTGGCCCAGGCCTGCCCCTGACGGACTGCCAGGTGTGCGAGCAGCTTTCACACTGTGCAGAGCCATCAGCATGCTTGCAGACAAGGGTGCGGTGGTCATTCAGCCTGTCTAAACTCCACTGTGATGCTTTTATTCCTAGGTCTTGTCGCCTCCCACAGCTGCAGCTCTGCATCCCGTCTGAGCTGTTCTTCCTGGAGCAGAGCTGGGGTCGCTGCCTCATGCAGTGCAGCGCGCTCAAGGGCTGTGAGGCGGGAGTGTGCGGCGGGAGGGTTGTTTGTTATGTTTGCTCTGCCCTTTGGACACTTTTACTGTTCTGGCTGTTACCACTTAATTGTCTGCACTGGTGAATAGTGATTTTAAACAGCTGTGCAAGTGCACTGAATTAGTTAAGAGGAGCACATCCACAGAGCCTCAGGACAGCACACATGCTCCTATTAGTGTCAGGGTGCTGCTCTGGTTCTTAATCACCAGGCTCCAGTGGTTACACAGAGGCCTTTCATTGCCATTCTGTGGCCAGGTTTTTGTGCCTTGCTTTCCTCTCTGGATCTTTCTGCTTTTGTTGCAGGACTACCGGCAGGTGCTGTGCTGCTCCTGATGTCAGCAAGTGCCACACAGCCCTGGCAAAGTGAGCAAGTAGGCTTTGTGTCACCAGGTGAGAAGCAAGAAGGGTGGCAGCGCAGGAGGCGGGTGGAGGCCAGGACAGCCCCGTGTAACTGAAGCTCTGCTTGTCCCTGTGCTGCCTCTTCTGCACAGTGCCACTGGCTTCTCAAACTGCACCAGCTACAAGTTCCTGTGCACAAGTGCCAGGACTACCTCTTCTACAGCCACTTTTGTTTTTGGTAACCATAACCCTTTCAACCCAAGAACCCTCTCTGACCAGGGAGCAGTTTTGGTGCGTACCTCTGAGAAACCATTCAACTCAGTGTTTCTGCAGAGCCTTGAGGATGCTTAGAATATCTCCACGCTGGATCATTCTGTTCCTGGAGTGAGATCGGCACGGTGTGAAAGCAGCTGCCAGCACCATTCACTCGGGCTCCCATCTGGGTTGTTGTGCAAGGGAACCGAGTAGCTTCCAGCCAGCGGGAACTGGAGGTATCTTTGCAACTGTGTAATGCAGCAGCATCGTGAACTGTTGAGTCTGGATGCCAGTGCAGTTCTGTGCATTTTCTTACATTTACTGATTAAATCTGCTCCCAGCTGTAGGCAGGCTTTTGGGCCATGGGGTCTGGAGAGCTGTAAGGAAGCGCCTTTGCACTCTTATTCCTGATACCTTTGGGGGCAGGGGTTGTTAGCTGACAGCTGGCTGAGCATGAGCCAGCAGTGTGCCCAGGTTGCCAAGAAGGCCAATGGCATCCAGGCTTGTATCAGAAATAATGTTGCCAGCAGGAGCAGGGAAGTGACCATCCCTCTGTACTCAGCACTGGTGAGGCTGCACCTTGAATTCTGCGTTGTTTAGGGCCCCTCACTACAAGAAAGACATGGAGGTCCTGGAGTGTGTTCACAGAAGGGCAATGAAGTGGTGAGCAGTCTGGAGCACAAGACTTCCGGGGAACAGCTGAGGAAACTGGGATTGTTTAGTCTGGAGAAGGCTCAAGGGTCTCTACAACTGCTTGAGAGAAGATTGTGGTGAGGTGGGGATTGGCCTCTTCTGTGTAACTAGCGATAACACTAAAGAGAATGGCCTCAAGTTGCACCAGAGGAGGTTCGGGTTGGTTATTAGGAAAAACTTCTACAGAGAGTGGTGAGGCACTGGTGTGGGCTGCCCAGGGAAGTGGTGGAGTCACCGTCCCTGGAGGTGTGCAAGAACTGTGTGGATGTGGCACCAAGGGATGTTGTTAGTGGGCATGGTGGGGGTGGGCTGACAGTTTGACTCGGTGATCTTAGTGGTCTTTTCCAACTTTAATGATTCTGTGATTCTGTGACACGATACAGCAGCAGCAAGAGGGTACCAACAGCTTCCTCTGCCCCTTTGGTCTCTGCTGAGCCTTTCGTATTCAAGTGCTGTGCATATTCAAGTGTGTGTTGTGAGGCAGTGTGCAGCCAGTCCTTGCATTCCTGTGTTCAGAATCTTGGCATTAAGAATTGTTGCTTGTGATTTTAACTTAGCGGCTTTCAGGGAGTGCGCCTGCCAGGATCATTCAAACTTTTGTAACTCTTTTTTTCCTTGAGTTTTGCCATCTCTACTTCCCTTCCCCCAAACCTGTGCAGACATTTAGTACATCAGTTGCAGAATCATGGAGAAGTGGATAATTGAATATTCACACATGCAGAAACAACACAGGCAGAATGTGGAACAATGTGGAAACAAGCACGGAAAGAGGCGGCATCTGTTTATTGAAAATTAGAATGTAGAATAAATTAAGAGGGCAAGGTTAAAACACTTCATTTGCAGTCAGGGTTCGCAGTGGGGGAAGACTGAAGAAAGTTTAGCACAGAGATGTATAAAGGGCTTCTACAGTTTAATTATGATATTTCTGTGAAAGTATATTTAATTTATATTGAAAAAATCGTTTTTACGTGGATTTTTTCCCCTTTAAAATGTGTCCCTGAAAAAAACAAACAAACAAACAAAAACCGCTTAGGTTCTGCAAAATTAAAGTACTTAAAATGTTAACTCTTACCTGGGTAGCTTAGATTACATTGCAACATTTGGAAGTGTTGAAAAACAGAACAATTTTTTCTTTTAGGAGTAATTGAAGAAAGCTGAGCTCATTTTTCCACCAGTATATATAGCAATATAGATGAAGTTGGCCCTTTATGAAATCAATGCATTTAGCAGACTCGGACTTCTAATACCTGTTCAGGCGATGTTGTTCAGGAAAGGCTGTGCACCTGAGGTCAGCCCAATGGACTGAACAATGCAGTGGATTGGGTTGTGACATAGAGTTACTGCTGGCATTTCCAAAGGTCTGCAAAGAGCCACACCTGTGGTGCAGGACCTGGGTTGGCAGTGGTTTTGTTACACGTATCTTTAGGTTTCACATATTCAGTCTATAGAAGGGTTACCCCTTCCAAGCTGCTCATGCAGACAAAAGCCATATCCATAAGTCATTCATCATAAAACAAGCCTAATTATGCTATGACATACTGACACTGCATCAGATTTCTGATCTTCAACATAATTTTATAACCATTGCTAACAGATGGGCCGATTACACTGAATTTGAGTTTTAAGTAATAGTTTAATCATATTTTATAATTTTTAACTGAAAATATCCATGCATACATAATTTCCTGAAGCTACTGAAAGGAGCAAAAACAGAGCGCAGTAAAACCTCTTTTTTGTTTCCTGAGGGAAATGCACTGCATTTAGGTGGACAGGAGTTCCTTAAATGACTCCTTAAGTAGTGTCTGCTGTTGGTAGTTTCTCTTCTGTGCAATTATAGCAGATTTGCGGAACCTTTTTCTTTGCACAGATCTCCTGCTCTATTCCAGCATAAAAGGCATAAATTTTTCTATTTCAGAGGCTCTTTTATTGAAACAAG